CCCATTTGTAAAGTTTGTCGCTGCACTGCTATTGGAAGATCCTTTTGAAACGAGGAACACAGGAGGCAATAGAATAGGAACAACTTGAGAATTTCAACGTATGAGATTTCATAATAATGCCCTGCAGCCTAAGCACTGAAGCCAATAATTCCCTTTGGCTGGCGTGTCCACAATTTGGTACAGAAATCAGACTAAAGATTCTTCAAGGTTAACATCTGCATTTAATTATCTTTACAATCAGATACAGAATATTCAACAAAAAAATGCTCCTAAACTAATATGTCCCTCTCCTCTACCCCTGCGCTAACCTTCCCCCCAGAACTCAAACCAACAGTTTTATCAAGACGTCTGATGACGTCACTTGTGGGCGTCTCCCGAATGTTCTTTTCGGGTGTGCTGGCGTCCCGTGTCCACTGGGAGGCGTCAGAATGCCTTTGGAGAATCTCCCAGTCTGCCTGAGAGATGGTGTTTTTTGGACTTTTGGCCTCGCCAGAGAGACAAGAATGTTTATTCCTGGAGTTAATAATTTGTCCCGTTTTGAAAGTTGGTATCTCTATGACTGATTGTAGTTTCTCCATTTGACCCTCTTTATTCCTGTTTGCAATCCTTGTCCTTGGGGCTTTTCCCCGTGCACATTCTTCAGAGGGCCTATTTTCAAAATCATTAGTATACAACATTTTAATTATGCAACAGTTTCCCTCTTTTGACCTGATTAAAAAATCAGGTCACAATCCACATCGTCGTTTATCATCCATACTTGTGCTTAGTTCCGGCTTGATATCTGTGAAGAGTTAATACAGAAAGAATACAACACACAACCACATTCGAAACATTCCTTCACAAAACTCTTTGATGACCACCGCTGTGTCATTCTGATTCTTCATCATTAATCAAATTGGTATTATCGTTACAGGAGCTAATCTATTTTAGCAGGTTTCTCTGGGGTCAGTCCCTATACAACGGTATTTTGATTCTCTAATCTGTTGCTGACAAATCGACAGCTCTTAAAATTCTCAAAAATACCTAAAGATCTACTTTTGTGCTATACCCAAATTCACCAAAATGCTTTTAAATGTTTTTGAATCTTTGTTGGTTCTAATCTATCTCATTAATCTAAGCTACATTAATCTAGGCTACACTCATGAACTTTATCTACTTTTGAAGTAACTACTTTTGGACATAATATGAAGGAAATGGTCTTTTTACCGTTTGATATTAACCCTGTCTAAAAATAATCTCTATTTTTTTTTTTTTTTTGAAAGCATCTATCTATTTTACACTCTATTGTGACTCCAAATCTTGGTTGTAGTTTGAGCCAAAGCATATTCCCAATTTTTGAGTTCTGATTGTAACAATTGCATTGGCAATAGATGATTTTTCATTGGCTGGTTCTTGTTCTGCAAATCACTATTCTATGTATTGTATTTCAGACAATTCCAAAAACAACACAGTCGTTCTCCAATATTAAAGACATACATCTAAATCAAGTTGCCTGAAAGGGATTTTAACTATTTTAAAACGTTCTCTACGATTATAAGGCTATGCATTTAATTATTTAATAAACAAAAGCACATTCATGGCTTCTGTCCGCTGCTTATAACTGTTTAAAGACTTGTCCCAAACTTAATATGTGTAAATACATCAGCTGTTTGTAATAAACAATAACATTTAACCTGTTCTCCAATGGAGCAGCTCAGAGGCTGCGTCAAGAGCAATGTTATATTTGAGCTATTTTTAGATTTAAAATTGTGTTAAAGCCTGTCGTTCTATGTCTGCATTTTAATACTACTCTCTATAAACACCTCTGCACCAGTTCCTACAGATGTGGAAAACAGAAAACATCTAAAATCTGACTCCATTTGATTCCTTTTTACTTTAGTTATTAGAACAATTTGACCTTATTGATACTTATTTCCACAATAGAACTATTTTGATTATTCACTAGTCTAACTATTATTACTATTGTTTATTCTGACACTTCAACCTATAGCTCCTCGAATCCAATGACATTATAGCTCCAGACTATTTCATTCTATTCTATTATTATCTTATTATTATATGATCTATTATCTTAAAGAGTAGATCTGTTTGATGTTATAAGCGCTATTATTTCTCCTTTTAAATTTGCACAACACTAAATTTAGAATGACCCCCTATGGGACAAATATAGAATTTTATTTCATTTTGGCAACTCCGAAAATTACTTAATAATTTTCCCATTTTGCTTTTTTAGGCTGCCCTTTCTATTATTTATTTGTTCTTGTAAATATATGTTTTACACTTCTTTCTAATGATTTAGAAGGTTAAGGACCATGACCACCTATGACAATACAATACTCCCCTCTGTTGGTCGTGGTCCAAAGTATAAAACATGCATCTGTGTGTGTGTAGATTACTGTTCCAATCCTGTTGTTCCTCCCGGATCGTCCTCAATTCATATTGTGGGCTTTGGTGCCAAAGTAGAGGCTCATTTCCTTATGATCCATACTACTGTGTTATCCCTGAAGCAGGTGCAGTTTATCTTTCATCTGAAAAAGAAACATTAGAACACAAGAAACGCCCACTTCCCTCTCTTCGCATGGTGCAGCCTGTCAATCAATCTAATTGGGCAAAACATAACTGCATTGACAGACGGTGTTTGGCATCAGGGCAGAAGCTGTAGCCAAATACAGACTTAACAATATGTATGTTTCTAATTTTATACTCCCCTAAATGTGAATTACAAACCAAAGTTGTCCTCCGCCCAATGACCGCTCACTGCGGTTGGACCGAATCACTGTCCGGACAAACAGCAGAGGGAGGGACTCCCAGTACCTTCAGCAAGGTATTCATCTCAGAGTACTTTCTCAGAGTACTTTTCTCAGAGTACTCATCCCAGAGTACTCTCACTTTTACACCTGTTCAATAAAGCTTGTCATCTTTGAATCTCTAGTACTTACACCGTATGCTGTTGACAAAAAATAATTATTCCATGATCACATTAAAACATTACAGAAAACTTTTGTTATTCCATGATTCCGTTCAGCATTCCTCGTTCACTCCACAACACACTCACAACACCCCACGTTAGTATTGGTCCAGTTTGTTAAGGTCAACGTAGTGTACTTTGACATGACGCACAAACATATAACATACACAAACATATAACATACACAAACATATAACACGCACAAACATATAACATACACAAACATATAACATACACAAACATATAACATACACAAGAGGCCTGTAATTTTAACTTTGTTATATTTTTCCATGTCCAATTACAATTGTCTCATGAGCTATTTTATAGTTGCAACTTTCAGAGCCTGCAAAATATGCAGAGCTTTTAATAGATTTTTCCTACAAGGATCCATTTCAAACTTTAGTGTTTAAACCACGTGGTCTTTACTCGGGCTTGTCACAAACTGTGTCCCCTATATTTTTAATGAGCTCTTGTTACTTAAAAAAAAACTCATGCACGTGCAATAAATGTTTTTCCCTTTTTTTTTAAAGCCAGTTCGGATTCCTTAAAAATGTAAATTAGTTTCAAACTTTAATACTTCACCTTTGTTTCACGTTCATGTGGAGAAAAGACCATTGTTTTATGTGTGTGTACTTGCGCCAATCATGTCTCAGATAAACTGCCAACAGTTATATCAAAGACATAATTGTCCTAATTGTTTCTAATTTAGCTATTTGGAAGAGAAACATGTCATAAAAGATTTCATAAAATGTCCCTACATCTTTGTTTTCAACCAATGAACAGTGTTGCGTCTATGTGTTATCAGAAATGATCCAATATCACCTTTAGCCAAAATTCAGAAATGCTTTAAATCATTTTTCAAACTTTAATTGTCTGAACAAACCATTTTGTACTAAATGCAACGTCCATTAAAAGCTGCAGTTCTCTTTCTAGCACCAGTTTCATCTGTGCATGTGATTGTTCTTAAATGAGAAACGAGCCACGGTTCAAAGGTTGAAAACACTGCTTTAAATATCCGTATTACCAAGATCATGCAGTTAAAATCAATAATTCTAAACTTCTCCGCGTCTATAACTTTAAATAATACTAGTTTCAATAATAGAGCTCCTCTACTTTAAATATACTGCTGTTCTAATCTCCTTGTGTCTCATGCTAAAGCAAGAGTCTAATTAATTTTAACGATTGTCCTGTATTCTTTCATGCAGCTAAATGTGGTGTTATGAACGAATGACCTAGCTAAATGTGTAAATATAACTTAATATGTCTCTGTGCGTTTGTTGCCTGTCTGTATATTTACCTTCTGTGTGTCTCATTTAGGCCAGCCACGTCTCAAATGTCCGTTAATGTCTTTCTTTTACTCATGGCGTCTTTCAATGTCTTTTGTCTCATAGTGTCCAATGTCTTTGTCTCCATGTCTTTTTCCTTCTTCTTTAAACAATCACTTTCTTTCTTCTTCCGATAACTCTTTCTCATAATGTCTTTCTTCTTCTTTCATATCTGACGCACCCAAATGTGTCGTG